TCATGATATGGTAAAGCCAAAACCCCTATTCTGGCTTATTTACCGTTTGCATTTCTAGTCATCTTCTCACTTTTTAATTTTTTTTTTCCCTTTTAGCTTTATATACTTTTCTTTTACTTACCCAATGATGTAATATTACGAGTAAAACGTATCAAAATACCCACCCGTACTGAAAGACACATTCGACACGGCTGGTATGATTTTTAACTCCTTGTATATTTTCTCTGAAATTATTGTCCAGTTTAATCTTTACTTGCTGGTTAAAATTATATTGAAAGTAAAATATCAAATTAGATAATAATTATGAGACGGATAGAATATATATATTTTTATGAATAATGATAGGTACAAGTAAAAAATGACAAGGAAAAATTACAAGTAAATGATCTCACTCATCCATTGTTAAAACTTTCCAAATAGAGTTTATGAATTCAAGGTTAGGGCATAATTTAGATGTTGAAACATCATTTTTTGTCAATTTTTCTCATTATTTTTTCCTTGTATCTATCATTACTCTATTTTTATTACTCTGGAGCTCACACATTTATGTGAGTGAACGGACTATAAATCTCGAACCAGAGGATCTCAAACCGGTTACCTCAACCGGGAGACAAAAATGTCCCTTCTTATAAGAGATCTTATAAGAGAAATCTTATAGAAATTTTTATAATCTTATAAGAGATGCGTGGGCAAAAAAGTCCCTTCACACCGATGGGTGTGTATGAATTATGATAATGTCAAGGAAAAAACTGGCTTGATTTTTACCAGAAATCCGACTTCTCAAATTGATCAGCAGGGTAAATACTTCACTGCGTTTATCAGAAGAGGAAAACGCAGCTGTCACGCTTAACAGTATCCTGACATCATAATAAAACAAAACTGTTTTTTCATGGAGTCAATATTTCTACAGTTGCACAATACAATGGATACAAATGCCTACGGAAAATCAATGATTTTAAGAGGCCTTCTGTACCAAAAATTGTCGTATGTATAGCCAAAAATTCCAATAGTAATAATGATATCTTTGAAAAATGAAAACTATACTAGTATTAACACAGTTCATTATTAATAATTTAAGCTCTTTTAAATAAAGTTAGTTCGGGAACATATCCATTAATTATTCTGTGACAAGAAGTGGAAAGAATTCCTCTACCCTTAACCATAAGTCGAGGGTTCAAATCTCGTCATGGGCATGGAGCAACTTTAAATACTTTAGCTAGCTGTCCCACTTCTACCCATCGAGATGCATACAATTCAGCGAGTGAGATTAGTCAATGTTGTCGACAATGAACATTTTGCAAATATGCAATATATATATATATATATAACTACTTTTTTTTAAAAAAAAAAAAAAGAAAAGAAAATGCATAATGAATCATGACTCTTATAGCTAGTACAATGTACTTATGTGTACATAAGATATGAGAGAGTTTTTGTTAGTTTTCATTGGACTTATATCCTTAACTTTTATCACATTAGTCCAGAAACTGCGTTTGATTTTTGGTTTTGCTGATTTGGATGTATGACATGATAATATTCATATCGGAAAGATTAATTGCGTGAAAATGCATCTTTGTATAAAGTGACTTCTCCTCTTCAAATTTCAAAGGATTATGGTTGTTTTGGGGAAGCCCCAATTAATGAACATTCGTACGTAATGATAATGCCATATACATTTATTAAATTATTGGAAGAAAAAAAATCCAAGATTTTCAATAAAAACAGTAAATGCGCCCTGTCCATTGATGTAGAAATGTAGATAGGAGGATGAACGAAATGAAAATGTGCGAAGTTAAGAGTGCAATAGTAAAAACTACAAGCAATAAACACCTCTTTTTTAAATCGTATTTCCAATGTACATTTTTTCTATAAAAATGTAAAAAAATGTATTGAAATTAAAAATGTAAATTTCTTTGAAACAAAAACTAAATATGAGCACGGCCAACAAGTACTAGGTCCGAATCATTGGCATGAACATATAATTTGTACTCAAATCTCGGCTTGTTCATTGGGTCGGGTAAACCGAAGTCCGACCCGACCCTAACTTAGTTTTGTGCTGTCGATTAAACTTAGGTTCTGTTTGATAAACCAATTCAATACTTAAATTTAATTGATTAAGTATTTAAGTGATTGGCACTGTTTGATAACACAATCTCATCACAACTTAATTGATTAAGAACTTAATTAATTAAGGACTTAAATTTTAAATACGTTTGATAACTCAAATTATGAATATCTTAATAAATTAAGAGAGTTTGAAATGCTAATACAAATGTGAGTCTAAAAATAAGCGATATGCCGATCACTTATGTCTGAACTGAATTCCCGAGATAATTTTTTTTTCTATTTATTTACTTTTATGTTTATACTTTTGATGTTTAATCTTGAAATATTTTTATTAATCTTGGTGTTTAGTAACAAATTGAAATTTATTTAAATTATTTTTATTTAATAAACATTTATTTTAACATAATAAATAAAATACGAATAAAGTCTATAATAAATATATATTTATCATAAAGATGTGATATTTTTTTTGACAATGATAAAGATATGATATTAAAAAAATAATTACATAATAAAATTTGAATATTTTTATATCATAATTTTATAATAATACTATTATTTTTATTATCATAGTTTATATATACATCAATTAATTTTTTAGATGAAATTATAAGTCGAGATATTTTAAATTTCAGTGTTCAGGCTTCAGATTTCAGATATTTTATTCAGTCTTCAGATTTTGATTTTTATCAAACAAGACAAACTTAATCAATTCAGTACTTATGATTTAGTTTTTAAATTTCAGACTTCAGACCCGAATTAAGTTTTATCAAAGAGGGTCTTAGTTCGGATTTTCGGTTGGAATATGGGTAAGAATAAAAATTTTTTCTTTAAGAACTTATATCGGTTGGCTTTCATCGAACCCGAATAAACCGAACTCCCCAATTTTCTTCTCTCCAAATCCAAATTTTTTTTCATAACCTCTCGGCTCCCTTTCTTCAGCCATCAAATGACAAACACCTCAAAGAGAAAAAAGCCTCCCCAATTCAAAAGTCAACCCGCTGCTTCTCTTCCTTATTCCCTCTGGCTTTGTCTTGCATCCTTTACTTCGTTGAATTGGGCTCCATGAAGAACTATTCTTATCCGGCATCTTATTCCGATTCCAGCTTTTCCTCTCCCTTGTCACACAAAATTGAGTTCGACGGGGTTTCCATCTAATCTGTTGTCGGCCGCGCTCATCCCTACCTTTCAAGATCTCGTCGGCCGCCTCTCCGAGTCTCGTCGGCCGCCTCTTCGAGTCTCGTCGCGCGGCCCTTTTAAGCCAAACCTCTCTAGATCTTGTCTTTGTTCAAGAGCCGTGTGCTTTTTTTTTTTTGGTCATTTTTGTGATGATCAAAATGGCCTTTTGAGGATGACGATGATTTCTCCTTGTCACAAAAATTTAGTTCTTTGGTTTTATGAAAGAGATCCAGCTTTGCTGTTATTGTATTTTTCCCCAGTTCATTCATCTTTTGTCCAATTTTTTGAAGATATAATCTGCATCTTGTGGTTAGGGGATATTCTTTGTCAATCTGTCCATCCGTTCATGTTTATTTTTCGGGTTACCCAATAGGAGAGTATTGTGTTTTAGTTCGGGCTAAAACCAACTGTTCCCGTACATCAGAAAAATCGAATCAGCAGACTCGAATATCCAACTGTTTGACCCGATGAACAGGCTTGCTCAAATCTAATACAGATTACTTATTTGGGACAATAATTCTAGATAAGTGGGTAAAAGTAATTAAACAAGAACCACACAATTTTTACCTCGCTAATAAGTATTTTTTATTCTTTATCTCGACCCGATCCTAATCCATCTAAATAATTAATCTTTAACCTCTTACATTTTTGTTAATAAAATGATAGGAAATCCTATTAGTAAAAGATTTTATGGGGGAATGATGTGTACTTGTTCTTTTTTTCTTTCTTTCTTTTTTTTTTTTTTTGCATGTAACTACGTGCCTAGATCTGCTAATGCATTTCAAAATGCGGGTGCAAATTAGCCCCAAACTATGCTGAATGATAAGTAATAAATTAGTGGATAATAAGGAGTGAACGCAGCTGCTTAGTTTGACTTGCAAATTTAATAGTACTTCGAAAGGGGTAAAAATCGAGAGAATGTAAATTAATGAGCTATATTTGAAAAACTTGTTGTTTCTTTTTAAAATAGGGATAGGCGTTAAGTAAATTACTATCAAGTGTTACTGATCACAAAGTTATTCTAATCTTGCTTTACTACTGAGAATTATAGAATAAAGGGAAAATTTGTGTAAAGAGCGATAGAACAATTCAAATTAATAAAAAGAGTATGATTTAAAAATATTTTTTATGCAGGGCGGTAATTTTTTTTTCAAAAATTATTACAACACCTGAACTGAAATAAAATGTTCATACAACTATTTTCCCCTCTGGATTGAGAAAAAAGTCAGTTATTCTGATGAAATCATATTTAAAGTGAGGTCACCATTGTAGATATTATTATCAAAAAAAAAAAAAAAAAACATTGTGGATGATTAAATGATGAAATCTTTGGCGGTAAATCAACTGAAGGAGTAAACATAACATGTTCACCACAATATCATTTAAGAGTTACAAAATTCTGGAAGGCCAACATGTGAGGTAATTTACATAGTCTCTTCTTTTTATTATTACCCAAAAGAAAAAAAAAAAAACCATAAAATTTTTATATCATCTCATTGTAATTCTTCCTCGTAGTTTTCATTTTTTCTTTTGATTCTCAGAACTAAATTTAACATTGACTGAATTCCCAAAGCCCAGTTAAAAAAAAAAAAGGAGCAATAATTAAATAATTACTGTGCCACTCCATGAAACAGCAATAGTACAGATATCAGAGCAGAGACGACAGAAGTTGAGTAAAAAATAGCCAGAGAGATTCCATTTAACCCTGGGTGGACAAGACATCTTTCATCTCAACCATGGTTAACTTCCCCCTTTAACTCAACCACCAAACCCAACCTCTTCCTCCCTCCGCCCTATAGCCTATAAGTAACACAGACCAAAGCAACATCATTTTCCACCACCTCGTTTGACCACCAGTCAGTCATTCAATTCAATTCCACCCCTTTTCCGATTCCCTCATTTGATCATTTCTTTTCTCTTTCCCTTTCAGTTTCCTTTGTTAACGAGAATGGTGTGGTAAATAAGCTGAACTATTATTAGTAACAGAGTCTTCGATCAGTTTTTTGTTCTTTTTTTTTTTTTCCCTCCCATTCTTTCTTGAACCCATAAACGTCACTGGACCGACACATTTTGTGTCAGTTCCATTACAGACACATTTCCCCAGTTTTGAAAAAAGATTATTAGTTTATTTAAAGTTCCCAACAATTTTACAAAACGCATTTCCCATCTTCCCTTTCAGATCTCTATATAAATCATAGTAGTAGCAGAGTTGAGTAGTAGTTATGGTGGAGTTGGTTGTGGAAGTGGCAAATTAACTTCTCCGGCAAAGCCCGTGATGAATGATGATCACACGGCCAATTGAAGAAAAACAGCACTTCCAGGAGGAGGAGGAGGAGAAGGAGTATTGCTGTATTAGTACAAAGTAATTAAATTTGTCACTGGGTTTTTTACTTTTGAGTACTGGGTTCCTGCTGAGTGAATTGATTGGTGAGTTGTTAATTGGGCAATAATGGCGGAAGCCGGGGAAGGGAAACCAATGCCGGAGGCAGAGAAGAAGAAGGAACAGAGCCTGCCGTTCTACCAGCTGTTCTCCTTCGCCGATAAATACGACTGGGGGTTGATGATCACCGGAACACTGGGTGCCATCGTTCACGGCTCCTCCATGCCGGTTTTCTTCCTATTATTCGGCGAAATGGTTAACGGGTTCGGCAAAAACCAGGGCGATTTACACAAGATGATCCACGAAGTCGGAAAGGTCCGTCTCAAACTCTCAATCAAATCAATCTCTGACTCTTCTTCTAATGAAACTCCATTTTTGGAACATTGATCGGCGGCCGTAATTAAAATTAACAATCATCATCATTATTCATCACCATCATGTTACGTGTTTGATTTGAATTTGGCAAGTGTTAACATCAGATCTATCTTCTTTTTTTTCTTAATGCCAGTACGCACTGTACTTCATCTACCTTGGACTGATCGTGTGCTTTTCGTCCTATGCTGGTAAGTAGTAAGCTTAGTAAAAACTCTTCCCTTTTTTCTAATTTTTATTAATTTGTTTACTTAGCGAAAAGATTAATGAAAACAACGTTAGCCGTTTCCGGGTGAGATTCCTGGCAAACACAGTGGCATTAATGATATAGTACTACTCCTAATTAATTTAATATAGAAATATCAGAATCACGAGGGAGTTAATCGTGCGATTGCTGGTGGGGATGAAACCCAGTTGAATGTGGGACTTTGAGGAAGTTGGGTTGCACGTGGCCCATGGCCGGTTCCACTGTCTTTTTCCTTCTTCACTGGTCAATTTTTCTCGTTTTACTTTACTATTTTATTCATTCAATATTTAACTTCTTGTTTATATTATCCTTATCACTGTATCACCCATCTCCATCACCGCTGTATTTGGTTTTCCCTACTTTGCAAAAAAAATAAAACTCATCTAATTTTCAGGTGGCGATGAGATAATATGGACAAAAGTCCAGACAAATCAAAAACCCATTATGAACAACAAAGACAAAATAACAAAATACTATAATGTACTACTGACTTCATTTATGAAAGAAAGATTGAATTTCAAGTTGTCCCTTTTGATTTGGAAAGACTTTTGACTTAATTGGGATTTTTTTTTTTGTTGTTGTTGTTGAATGAAATTAATGATGATAATGATAATGAAAATGCAGAAATTGCATGTTGGATGCATACTGGAGAAAGGCAAGCTGGAGCATTGAGGAAGAAGTATTTGGAGGCTGTATTGAAACAGGACGTGGGGTTCTTTGATACAGATGCTAGAACAGGGGATATCGTTTTCAGTGTTTCAACTGATACTCTACTTGTTCAAGATGCCATCAGTGAGAAGGTTTGGCGTTTATTTTATTTAGGCTTCATTGCATTTATGATTTCTTTCTCCCATTGAGACCAAAAACATAGTCTGAAATTTCTAACGGTGTGATCTAGTTATAGGACTAAAGAAGTACTCCCTCCGTCCCATAATTATTGTCCAGTTTGAGTTTTCATTTCTAGTTCAAATTGTACTAAAAGTGAAATATCAAACTAGACAATAATTTTGGGACAGGAGGAGTAAAAAGAAAAAAAACACTGAAATAAATTTTCCTGAGAAATGCTGTGGCTGTTGCCTTCTGAATGGTGGGGACCCTCTGTTGCTGAATTCATTTCCCTCACCACTTGATCGCGCACGTTAGTCTAATCTACGCCCCCCCGGCTGTCATCTTCTCCAAAATTCTGCTTCCGGGCCTAAAATGATTTTCCAGCATGCATGCCCTGAAGAAATTATTTCTTTTCCCATGTTATTATTGAGCTGATGCTGGCCTTTTGTTATACTCATTTATGGACTTGCTATGATTCTAAGTTGTGCTGATCATTCTAAATAGTTATCTGCTCAAAATGAGTGATTATGATGGTCATGATGATGTCATATGTATAATGATCTTCTTCTTCATTTTGGAATTTTCAGGTTGGAAATTTCATACATTATCTGTCCACATTTTTGGCTGGTTTGGTGGTTGGTTTTGTGTCAGCATGGAGGCTAGCGCTGCTAAGTGTGGCGGTGATTCCCGGAATTGCTTTCGCTGGTGGTCTCTATGCATACACCCTCACCGGGTTAACATCCAAGAGTCGTGAATCTTATGCTAATGCTGGTATAATAGCTGAGCAGGTGATTACTATAAAATTAATTTGATTTCTTGTCTCTTGAAAAGAAGCTCCTTTTTTTAATGTGTTTTCCTTTTCTCGGTCCCTCATCTTATCTTTATTAATCTTTACAAGTATTAAAAACACTGGTGAGGAGGAAATAATGATCCCATGCATGTGCTATTATCATAAAGTTTCTTGACCTTTTTTGAGGAACCATTATAGCTTTTTTTCTTAGTTGGCATTTGGCCTTGCCCCTTTTAGCTTTTATGTGAAATGATTAGATGAGATGTACTTAACTTTTCTTATTTATTCTTTTCTCGAACCAAGATTCATAATATCAGACATTGATACAGTAGTTGGTCTTCTTCTGAACATCATCTCTATTAGGAACATACAAATTATCTCTATAAGAGTTAGTGATCAATTATTTAAATTCAGGATCATTTAATTAACCATGATCAATCTGATGCATACAGTTGCTTTATGCTACCTTATTGTTGCATTCTAAAAGATTAACCATTTTGATAGGCCATTGCTCAAGTTCGGACAGTTTATTCGTACGTTGGGGAGAGCAAGGCTCTTAATTCATACTCAGATGCAATCCAAAACACATTGAAACTTGGATACAAAGCTGGGATGGCTAAAGGACTGGGGCTGGGATGCACCTATGGTATAGCATGTATGTCATGGGCACTGGTTTTCTGGTATGCCGGAGTTTTTGTGCGGAATGGTCAGACTGATGGTGGAAAAGCATTTACTGCTATCTTTTCTGCTATTGTTGGTGGCATGTAAGACCTTTAACTATAACTATATAATATCTAAGTTGCCACCTAAGAAGTAAGAAAGGTAAATAACAACTATTCCAATGCTTTGACAATTCAGGAGCTTGGGTCAGTCATTTTCTAACCTTGGGGCGTTCAGCAAAGGTAAAGCTGCTGGATACAAACTAATGGAGATTATCAAACAAAAACCAACAATTGTGCAGGACCCGTCAGATGGAAAGACCTTGGCTGAGGTCAATGGAAATATTGAATTTAAGAATGTAGTCTTTAGTTATCCTTCAAGACCCGATGTCATTATCTTCAGAGATTTCTCCATATTCTTCCCTGCTGGAAAAACAGTGGCGGTTGTTGGTGGCAGTGGTTCAGGAAAGAGTACCGTTGTCTCCCTGATTGAAAGGTTCTACGATCCCAACCAGGGTAATTCAAACATACATCAGACTAAGATTTATGATTAATCTTCTACCATGATAGAAAAGAATGTCAACTCATTTTGAATCGCTTCTCCTGCAGGACAAATCTTGCTGGACAATGTGGACATTAAATCATTGCAATTGAGATGGTTAAGGGATCAAATTGGTCTGGTCAACCAAGAACCTGCACTGTTTGCCACCACGATACTGGAAAACATTCTTTATGGAAAGCCTGAAGCAACCATGGCTGAAGTTGAGGCTGCTACCACTGCAGCAAATGCTCATAGCTTTATTACACTGCTCCCTAATGGATACAATACCCAGGTACATACTGAAACATTATCTAGTTTCTTGGCCTATATTAAATATGAGGATGAATTCCTGTTAAAAGAGTGACTGAGCATTTTTTATCTACTTTAAACATACCCAATATAACCAAGAGAATGTTTTCACTGTCTGTAAATTCACATAGATTTGGATTCTCATTTTTCTGTTAACCTTACATGCCAGGTTGGAGAGCGTGGTGTCCAACTTTCTGGTGGTCAAAAGCAGAGAATAGCAATTGCAAGAGCTATGCTGAAAAACCCCAAAATCCTCCTGCTTGATGAAGCTACCAGTGCTCTTGATGCAGGTTCGGAGAGCATTGTTCAGGAGGCTTTAGATCGTCTCATGGTGGGAAGAACAACAGTGGTGGTTGCTCATCGCCTTTCAACTATCAGGAATGTTGATTCAATCGCAGTTTTACAGCAGGGGCAAGTTGTTGAAACTGGAACACACGAAGAACTTGTTGCAAAAGCTGGTGCATATGCTTCGTTAATTAGATTCCAGGAGATGGTGGGCAACAGGGACTTTTCAAACCCTTCCACACGTCGCTCACGTTCCTCCCGCTTAAGCCACTCATTATCGACAAAATCGCTCAGCCTCCGTTCTGGTAGTTTAAGAAACCTGAGCTATCAGTACAGCACTGGTGCTGATGGCCGTATTGAGATGGTGTCGACTGCTGAAACAGATAGGAAAAATCCAGCACCACGCGGTTACTTCTGCAGGCTTCTGAAACTGAATGCCCCTGAGTGGCCTTATTCAATTATGGGAGCTGTAGGATCCATTCTCTCAGGATTCATTGGCCCAACTTTTGCCATTGTCATGGGCAATATGATTGAGGTTTTCTATTATAGAAATCCCACAATGATGGAGAAGAAGACGAAGGAGTACGTTTTCATTTACATTGGAGCTGGCCTTTATGCCGTAGTTGCGTATTTGATTCAGCATTACTTCTTCAGTATCATGGGGGAGAATCTCACGACAAGAGTTAGGCGGATGATGCTTGCAGGTAACTTCTATGGCTCCTTTTGTTATTACACAATTAGTATAGTTCCTACGATAGCCGTTTGACTAATCAATTTTCATCTGATTACATCAGCAATTTTGAGGAATGAAGTTGGATGGTTCGACGAGGAGGAACACAATTCAAACTTGTTGGCAGCTCGCTTGGCAACCGATGCAGCGGATGTCAAAGCTGCCATAGCCGAGAGAATTTCTGTTATCTTGCAAAATATGACATCCCTTCTCACTTCCTTCATCGTCGCTTTCATAGTCGAATGGAGGGTCTCACTTCTTATCCTCGGAACCTTCCCACTTCTAGTCTTGGCCAACTTTGCTCAGGTAAATCTTCCATTCTTATTTGTTAATGGAATGTAGCACATTCTTTATGCACAGTTTTCACTGAGGACCTGGAAACTGGAAAAGGATGTCTTGCTCCATCACAAAAGCAGTGGAAATGGTGTCTCCCCAACCTCCATTAGTCCATTACAAAAGTACATGCAATCAATATAAAAATATTGAAAATGGAATGAAAAAAATAAGTACCAAAACTACTGGGAATTTGTTACCATGCTCTTAAAGTCAATCAGGATAATCAGAAAAAGCATGGGTTTTTTTTGTTGCATACCAGTAGCTGTTTCTGGATCTTTAGAATCCACTTTCACTATTCTTTTAAACCAACATAAATTATGAAAATGGTAGAAAATCATGTGGCAGTTCCCTGGTAGGATGCATGCACGTGCTTCCTTCACTTCTGAATGGTGCAACAACCTGTTTGAAACTCACAAAAGTCCTAATAGCAAAATAAAATAATGGGCACTTGCAATCAGCAGGGTTTGCCCAGAAATGAATGACAACGTATAGATATTTTCAACCGCACCATTTCCAAGGCTTGAAAAAGTTCTGTGTCAGATTAGATTTATTTCTCGAGGCATATATTTGGCTACTATGTGTTTATATTAACCAGGTCCTATTCTCTGCTGGCCCCCTTATGTTGACTCAAAGACTGTTAGGGAATAGGAAAAAGAACAGCAATCTTACTGGGAAAGAAAGTGCCTTTTCAGACTCTTTATACTATTGCAATTTGCCTTTGGCTCCACATAGTCTTTATCTCCCGTGACTATTTCTGCTTTTTATTGGATATTTTAATTTTTTCTTTTTCCTTTGAGCTGAATTTTAAAGTCATTTCGCAATCATTTGTGATGGCGTCAGATGGTATTATATGGTCATTATCAGGGCTAAAGGTGGCTTGCTGTAAATTTAGTAGTGGGTTTCACTTGCTTGCTCAAGTCTTGTGCATGTTGATTAAACAGTACATATTCATTGTTTCGACCTTTTGGAAATGAGAGGATTAATTTAGAAAATCTATCTAATTACGTTAATGAGGACTAAAAAAGACATTGAAATTAGACAATAACTGCAACCAATGGTGTGTAAGGTTGAAATCATGTTGGAAACTTGTAACTTCACCAGTCCTTATACACCATGATTCGTCCCAAAGGAAGGTGCTAATTTTGTTCAAAATGATGTTTTTTGTTGTAAGCAGCAACTCTCTCTTAAAGGATTTGCTGGAGACACAGCAAAGGCTCATGCCAAGACCAGCATGATTGCCGGGGAAGGAGTGAGCAACATCAGAACTGTTGCTGCATTTAATGCCCAAGAGAAGATGCTGTCTTTGTTTTCTCACGAGCTACGTGTTCCACAACGCCGCAGTCTTCGTCGTAGTCAAGTCTCGGGACTTCTGTATGGTCTATCTCAGCTTGCACTTTACTCATCAGAAGCATTGATCCTCTGGTATGGAGCTCACCTGGTAGGCAAAGGTGATTCCACCTTCTCAAAGGTTATCAAGGTGTTTGTCGTGTTAGTCATAACAGCGAATTCAGTTGCTGAGACGGTTAGCCTAGCACCAGAGATCATAAGAGGGGGAGAATCAGTTGGCTCTGTGTTTTCAATTCTTGATCGACACACAAGGATAGATGCTGATGATCCTGAGGCTGAACCTGTTGAAACAATCCGCGGAGAAATTGAATTACGCCATGTGGACTTTGCATATCCTTCAAGACCTGATGTGATGGTGTTCAGGGACTTCAATCTCAGGATCCGTGCGGGCCAAAGCCAAGCACTCGTTGGGGCTAGTGGATCAGGAAAGAGTTCTGTTATTGCTCTGATTGAGCGATTTTATGATCCAACAGCTGGCAAGGTTATGATTGATGGCAAAGACATTAGAAGGTTAAACTTGAAATCTCTAAGGCTTAAGATAGGATTGGTACAGCAAGAGCCAGCTCTTTTTGCAGCAAGCATTTTTGATAACATTGCTTATGGAAAAGAAGATGCAACTGAAGCAGAAGTTATCGAAGCTGCTCGTGCCGCTAACATGCACACATTTGTCAGTGGACTGCCTGAAGGTTATAAAACTCCAGTTGGTGAAAGAGGAGTACAACTCTCTGGAGGTCAAAAACAAAGGATAGCAATCGCACGTGCTGTTCTAAAGGATCCGGCTATTCTATTACTTGATGAAGCAACAAGTGCTCTTGACGCGGAGTCAGAATGCGTTCTACAAGAAGCACTCGAAAGGCTAATGAGAGGGCGAACCACTGTCCTTGTGGCGCATCGGTTATCCACGATAAGGGGGGTGGATAGCATCGGAGTTGTGCAAGACGGACGCATTGTAGAGCAAGGAAGCCACAGTGAACTGCTTAGCCGGGGCCCTGAAGGAGCATATACGAGGCTCTTGCAACTACAGCACAATCACATATGAAAGTCTGATACTAGTAATATCTATTTTCCCATTTTCCTTATTAGCTACATGATGGGATAGTGTTGAGTGGTAATCTTGTTCATGTTTTACTTAACCATTTGTTTTTCATTTTTTTCTTTTTACCTTGTTTTGGTTTTTTTCTGGAGGGTAATAGTTGTAGATAAGTTGACGTGAAAACTAAGATCCGCAAGATCTTCTTAATTAAGAAATATTAGTAATATCTTTAATTTCCATAAGCACATTCCAGAAGCCTTATTTTGAATTTTTTAAAGTCTATTTGGATCTTCATCTTTCCAGCTTGAGAAACTTGTACTGTCTCTCTTTCTGTTACACTGCGAGTTGGAGTGTGTTGTAAATATGAAAGTCCTTTTGATCAGTGATAAAGGGCCACCATAAACCTGAATTACTGAGTTTGAGGCCGACAGAGATTGTTGGGAATCAATAAAGGATGAAAAGATGGTAATAAAGTACTATGAGATTCAGTATCACCAAAAAAAAAAAATAAAAATAAAAAAATAGAAGTTTCAAGTGAAAGTTAGGAGACTTGTAAGTTGTAATTGTAACTATGAAAGATGTTTGCCACTGATCAAAGATAAAATGATTGTACCATACTCCAATGGTGACAGATCCTCATGAAATCTTGTTATTGAGACAAAAACAATGTTTTGAAGAGAATCAGTAACGGGTACCCTCTTAGCGCGTTTGTCTATAAAATAATATCGTCTCACTGATACAAATATTGTTAATATTCGATTACCGGGGAAAAGATGATCTCATATCAATGTTGTCTGTCTTCATTATCTGCAAAGATTGATTGTTAATTATTAGGAGCCATCTTCCATTACTCTTAGGGAATTGGGATGGCCTCAAATCATGATGAACTTGGTACTTGTTAGTCAAAAAGAAACTTGAAAACTATCCCCAACCAAGAAAGATGGCCCTTCACCATATTTTAACACTTGACACAGATACTTTGCCTGCAAAAGCTAATAGAAAAAGAAGGAAGAAGAAGCATCAAGTATGGCAAGCAACCAGCAGTGTAGGACCCAAACCAAACTGGAGCTCCTGAGAATTCACATGGTGGGTTTTTTTTTTTTTTTTTTAAGAATCGGGTCCCATTTTGTGGAAAACTTTTAAAGTTCAAAAATAGGCAGAAAGAACTGAGAGGAACTGGACTCACTGGCAAGTGCAGTTCATCAGATATCATTTTAATACTATTATTTTTAAATCATGATTTCTCCAGATCTTTTGGGTGTTAAGGGAAACCAGGGTTAAAGAAGAAACAAACAAGAACTATATGATTAATGGCTGATAAAAGCCACGTTCTTCATTAAACAACACTTAAACTTACTAAAGAACTTAAAAGGTTAAAAATTGCTCATGAGTTCCAACAACGCAAAATGATCATTGAAATGATTGCGGCTCAACATGTTCACATTCATATTTAGATCACAGTGGCTATAGGGACTAGAAGAAGATACGCAACAATAATGAATAAGCTTGGTTGGAAAGTTAGAGACCGAGTCTTTTACGGAATCATTTCTTCTTTCGTCCATGGAATCTACAAGGAGATTTAGAAGCAAAAAATTCAGTGCAGTTGATATAGTATCATGTAGGATCGTGCAATGAGCTAATTTTACAGAAAAGAGAAAAAACATATAGGAGGACTGACTCTGAATGCATGAGCTAACTTGACATAATTACATAAATAAGATTTCAGAACTTGTCTTCTTTTACCAACCTGTCAATTTTCCCCCAAATGTTGCTGATTTCTGATTTCCAACACGAGAAGGTAAAAGAATCTAACCATTTTATGTAACATAGACGAACATACACTTAAGAAAAAAAAATGCTTCAAGCCGATTGTTTCTGAAGTAACTCTCATGCATTGTCCCAAGTCATTGAATAAGAATTTCACCACAAAAAAAGGCATCCGCGGGTTCTCTTTCCAATGTGTGTGTGTGTGTGTGTGTGTTTTGGTTTTGGGTTAAGAAAGTTATCATCAACGCCACCAAAAATAATGACAACTGATCTCAAGTGTCAATGATGGCTTGAAGGTGTTTTCTTTCTCTTCTTTCATGAATCATGACATCACATGAGACAATGTTCAACCAGATTTGGCAAACATAAGCTGGGAAGATTTTTCTTCATAAATCAGTTTGTATTATTTGGTCTACTACCACCACAAATGGTGAGCCTACCATTGTGGAAAATCTGTGCTACTGTTCTTGATCACGGCCCCAAAGAAAACAGCAAATTCGTGAAAAATTAATCCAAAAAATGAAGACTTGAATAGATATTAAAGAGAGAGAGAGAGAAAAAAAAAGAAGCCAGACTTGTGGAATATGGTCAAGGAAATTGGGAAATGGGAAATAATCTCTCGGATTTTTAACATAAGGCATTTTAATTTGTCGAAAGTTTAACCTAGTATGCATTTTTAATTGAAAAAAATATTAAAAAATATATTTCCATATTCGTTGCGTTCTCTTGATTGTTAGGAAATATTTTTTTTATCAATTAAAAATGCATATTAAGTGACTCCTAAGACAAATTAAAATGTCTTATACTAAGGACCGGAGGGAGTTGATTTTATTAGTATCGGACTTTAATGAATGATTGTGTTGTACTCTAGTTGCATGCGCCACCACTACAAGAAAAAAGACTTATAGTGACAATGCTATGAATGCAGTTTATGGAAAATGTCATTATAGAATTATACTATTAAGATATTTTAGAATAAAATGTCAAGATAGAATCTTATTAGGACACTAGACAAAAAGAAAGTCTTTTTATTAATTTCTTAATTATTTAAAGAGTTATAAAGGCACCACTATTACGGCATTTAACCTCCAATCAGTTTTTATCTAGAGAAAAAGAAGGAACAACCGTTATCATCAAATAAATAAATTAATCACATATTATTGAATGGTAATTATTGAATTTCATTATGTTAATGTTTTAGTGGTATTCAATTTTTAATTGTTTCTGAACTGATTATTGGTAATGCATGGTGGAGATGGCATAATCCCTGCGCGGCCTGGGTTGCAATCTTCAGCCTCGTTATCCAATCTAGAGATGGCGCCGACTGTTGATCACCATTCACTTCACCAGGCATGTACTTGTAAACCAAAAACTTCTCATAGCCATTATGCAAGCAATGTCCCAAAAGAGGAAGCACTCTGGGATGGATGGTTGACTATCACTATCCCATGAATCTCCATTTCAAACTTAATTGAGACACTGACTTTTTTAACCACTACTTCCAACCCGCTTTCTAAAACTCTGAGATAGAGATCCCCAGATTGTCCTTTCTTCATGAGTTTGGAATTGTCGAAGCCATCCTTGGCTTGAAGGATTTGAGGGTAGGTGAATGATTCTCCAACCAATAATAAGCTCCGGGAACTGAAAGATGAAACCCGGGAATGGAAAGAACCCAAATTAAAAGACGATGACGATGATGATAAAGATGAAGAAAGATCACTTGGGGTCCGCTGGGCAATTTTCCCAATTCTCTTCTCTGCGCAAAACGGCACCAACCAGCCTATCCCAGCGCTCATAAACTGCAGACATGCTTTAATATATTCTCTTAGCTCTCGACAAGAATTTGTATGTGTAACCAGAGGAAATGATCGGAAATGAATACAGGAAAATACAAACTTGAATGGTGGTCATAATGGAGCCCAGGTCCCGGAGCTTTCCTGAATAATTCCTACTTCATTAGCCCAAAAATGTGCTATTTGTTGTACTTGCAATTGTAAAAGCAAAATTTAGCTAAAGGGCACAAGAATATATCAAATTAATAAAAAGGATATAACATCAAAATATTTTGACATGTTCTACCGCCTTTTAGCCAAATTTTCCCATAGTAAAATACTAGATAGTCATTTCGTAATTGACAGAGTAATATAATTCAAACATGGAACTGTGATTAGTAGAAAAAGCCAAACACTTTTAGTCCTTATAATCTTGAAATGCTTTACATTGCTTCAACTGCAAATCAATCACCTTCGGGAGGAAGCCGTGTTGGACCGGTGGAGTGAGCCCTGTTATTTTTGGAATGATATTAATGACTTGGGAGTTCAGTCAATGAGGTTTTGTTTCGCTAACATTCTTGATAATGACTGCCCAAATTGGGACTAAAAGTTTTTTTTTTCCTCTCTCTCTTTTTTCCCCTCCTTTCCTGTCCTGTTTTTCTCCCTCCCTTTTAAAGTCAGTTAATAAACAAGTTTCAATTTGAAATTTGATTCGATCCCTATTCCCGACACCTTCCAAGTCAATAGTTAAATAGAATTCTTGATACTCCCCTTTCAGCACCCTCTATTCTCGTTGTCATACCATGAGTTGGTATCAGATACTAATATTAATATTCAATACATCATAATATTAAAAAGTTATCATGACACTATACAGTAAATGAGTTATTAGACAGTAAAAAATGAATTACCTATCATGACACTTATAAGTGTCTTTAAAATTCATTCAAATTATTGTGACATTGGTATATACAACACAATTAAGTAATGCCTTTAAAAGTTTACTGTCACCATAGTCTATTTATGAAGACACTATAAAGTGCCTTTTTATTCTCTTTCAGGTCCCCATCTACTTCATTCGAGAGAGTTGAAGTACGTTCTTTTTGCTGGGAAGAGAATAAAGTAATGAGCGCATTCCGTAACCGATGTTGAAAATGTTCGCTAAAAAAATATGAATTATTGAGTTTGAGGCCCACAAAGATTGTTGGGAGTGTTGGAACGTTTTTCTTTTTCTTTTTTTTTCCCAAAAAAAACGCATGCAATTATTAATAACTAGTTAGATTAGATGCGTTTCGCGTGTGCCCTTGTTTGAAAAATAATAAAAACAAAAATAAATTGATGTAATAGTTTGGAACAGAAGGAAAATATGTAGAATAAAAATGATGACTATTTTATAAATTTGATCGGATCACTATTAATGATATAAATAAAATGATGTAATAACTTTAGGAAAAGGGGGAAAACGTAAAATAAAAATGATCCTAAATTACAATTGTTAGATAAGTTTGATAGGATCATTATTATTTTTTTGGGGTCAAAAGTAAATGTATTTTATTTCCCTTAACACCTTCACTGTTTTTGTATATCACTTCTGTTTCACTATGCTATTACAAATATTCCCCTATATCAATTTCCAAACCATTGTTCTATAATCCCCTTTTCTGCTACACTAACTTTCTGACTAAAACAATACTCAGTCCTGATTCTAATTTCCGTTCTGATCTGCTGCACTAGTTGTTCCTCTGTCCTCCATTTTCCCTGAAATGTCCTCCAATTCCTTTCTTCCCACAGATGGTAAATGCAAGCTATCAAAACAACAATCAGTATCTTGCTCTTCATCTTAGCTCTCCTCCAAATACTCTTCAAATCTGTTTTCCATTGGTCATTCTGCCCTAAGTATTCTGATACCCTACCAATCCTTGATTCTGTTCAACATATTCTCAGAAAAACTGCATTCAAAAAACAGATGCCTCACAGTTTCCACATGGCTGCTATACAGACAGCATCGAGTATCATCTACATTAATCTGGCAGTTTCTCAATCTGTCTTTTGTCCACAACCGTCCCTTCCACATCAACCAAGCTATAAAAGAGTGTTTCGGTAAATTCAATCTAGCCCATATCCATTTATATTCTTCTCTTCTATCATCTGCTCCAATGAACCATCTGTATCCATCAGCAATCGTATACTTAAATGTCTTGGTATGTTTCCATATGCTCCCATCAAACTCCTCTCTAATTCTATCTCAAATTTTCAACAATTTCTTCCATTGCCAGCTACTATCTTGTTTTAGCCGTACAGTCTAGATATAAGCCTACTTTAGGTACAATTCATGAGTCCATTTCACCCACAAATTGTTTTCCCCAATGCCAGCCACCAAAACTGCTTCAAAATCGCAACATTATTCCAAACCCTAGCATCTTTAATACCAAGCCCCCCTTCACTTTTTCTATGACATATAGACTCCCAGCCAACTAACGCCACATACTTTCCCGAGTCCTTTACTTCTCATAGGAACTCTCGCAATATCTATTCACCCTTTCAGTAATACTACGTTGCAGGATAAATACTGAAGCCCAATAAACATGCTCATGAGACAATAGAGTTTACTAGCTGTAATCTGGCAGCATACGATAGATTTCGAGTGCTCCAACATTTAAGCCTTCACACTATTCTATCAACCAGGCATTTACACTCCTACATATTCCATTTTCGAGGTGACAAGGGCAATCCTAAATATTTCATAGGAAATACCCTCTCCCTAAATCCAGTTACCTCACCAATTTTCATTTTCAGCCACTCATGCACACCTCCATAGTAGATGTTGGATTTTCAATACTAGCTTGCAGGCCAGAGGTTGCCGAAAACTCTCTAAACTTCAGCATGATAACCTCAACAGTATATAAGTCTGATTTACAGAACACCATGAGGTCGTCAGCGAAGCAAATATTTGTGAGCTTCAACTTCTTACATTTTGGATGAAACCTAAATTTTGGATTCTCCACTACTTTCTTCAACTGCCTCGTAAAATACTCCATTAATAGAACAAAAATCAACAGCGACATTGGGTCACCTTACCTTAATCCCCTTCTGCCCTTGAAGTACCCCACGTTGACACCATTCAAACATAAAGAAAAAGCAGATGTAGTAATACAGGCCATGACCAAATTAACAAACCTAACAAGAAATCCAAATCCTATTAGACATTCTTCTACAAACCCCCATTCCACCGAATCATATGCTTCTTTCAAATCTATTTTTATCAAACACCTCACTTAAATTCTATCTCCCATAAAGTCTATTTAACTCTTGCGTAATCAGTATATTATGCATTATCATTCTGTATTTTATAAATGCACTGATTTTCAGCAACAAGTACAGTCAAAACAACACTCAATCTTTCACTAATAATCCTTGTAATACATTTATAAATGAAATTATAACATGAAATTGGCTTATATTGACTAGCATCTACTGGATTCTCTATTTTTGGTATCAGTGCAATAATAGTGGAGTTTAGCTGTTTAAGGATCTAACCTAAATTGAAGAATTCATGCACAACGCAAGTCCCTAGCAACAATGCTCCATGTCTCCTTAAAGAAGTCACTTCCAAAGCCATCAGGTCCCGGACTCTAATTAGAGTGAATCCCCCATTAAGCTTTTCGCACTTCTTCCTGTGTGATTGGCTTGATCAATTCCAGCTGAGCTTCCACACTCAATCTATCTCCCTTGTCAAACACTGACTTAGTTACTGGCATTCTTTCAACAGACTTCTCTAACAGATTCGGAATAAAGCTCACAAAGTGCTCATCAATTTTGTCCAATTCCTTGACTATATGTCCATCCTTCTCCGTAATACTCCAAATTTTATTTTTCACGATCTTCTGCTTAATTTTAGCATAGAGAAATGCAGTGTCTGAGTCTCCCTTCCTTATCCAATTTTCCTTCGCCTTTTGTTGAAGAAACATCTCAATTGCCTTACTCTTTACGATCCAGGCAGTATTTTTTGGCCACCCTTTCCTATTTCTGAACTTCTTTATTTTTCAGGATCTTGAACCAATCTTTGCTGTAGATTTTGCAATTTTTCCTGCACTTGCTGAGTTCTCACCTGAATATCAGCTAGGGTTTTCTTATTTAGCTCCTTCAAAGTCTCTTCAGACGTTTCAGTTTCTGTGCAAATTGGTACATTTTACTCCCCTGCACAGGCTCCTTCCAGCTTTTCCAAACAACTTCCCGAAACCTTAGATCAAGCTTCCACATATTGTATACTTGCCTTCAGCTTCATCAATTTATCCCATTATTCCCCTCTTTCTTGCGAGTTAGTAGAAGCATAAATTCCTGTAAAATTAAACTGAAAATCTATAACCTCTGAACTAACCTGGCAGTGTACCATTTATTCTGAAAACTAAGAATTTGCACACTGTATGTATCATCCCACAGTATACTAATTCTTCTCTTATCCCTCCTATCATAGCTAGTAAAATGCTTCATATGACTCCAACACCTCTTATGTATCTCTTCATCCTTTTCCTTGCTTAATTTCGTTTCAACTATGCATGCCAATCCAACCTTATTTATAGACAAGAGCCTTATAATCTCCTTCGGTTTTGAAGGGGCATTAAGCCCCCTTATATTCCATACAAAGATATTACTCATTGATCCCTGGATCAGGGTCAATAGCAATGTCAACCTTCTCCCCCTTATGGCTTCTTCAGTAGCTTCATTGTTCCTTCCCTGCATAATCATCTTATCCCATATTGCTTGCTTCCGAACCACCTCACCAGTTTTCCTAACAATCACCACAAATTTTTTGTTCTTATTGATCACAATATCTTTCTCCCTCTAAGACACTTTATCCGTTATTGGTATTTCAGACTGCATCACATCCTTTCCTCTTACATCTCCATCATTTTCAGCTTGAGATATAGTTCGCATCCTAACTCCTCTTTTACCCACTCCTTGTGTCTGTTGTATCTTAGGGTTATTTCTGCAATGCTCAGTCATGTGTCCATACCCCTTACAACACTGACACTGAACTGACTTCCATTTGTATGAAACGGCTTGTTCCTGTACAATCCCATTCTCATCCTCTTACAATATCTTATTTGGTACCTTACTTTGGATTTTCATCTCTATCATTATCTTAGCATACTGCACTCTTTCCCTACTTGTAGTTGCTTCATCTGTCAACCCCCTTGCAGTTGCTTCATCTGTTAATCCCATTCTCAACCCCCGAAGTGCTTGCCAATTTACTAAGGGATATATTATTCCAATCCCTAAAGCCTAATCTAGATAGGAACCTTAAGA